GTGTTTTAAATAATGATAATTTCACTTAGATGTTGAAAAATTATTATTATTATTTTTTAAAAAAATATATACTAAATAAGTTAATAATATTATTAATAACAAATTTTCATAAAAAAAGAATTGTTTTTGAATTAATTTTCAAAATCATAAAAATCGAACTTGCTTTGAAAGTCTGCCCAGATGTTAGAGATTTTTTTAGAGATGTTTGCGTTTTTTAAAATTCAAAAAAATTAAAACCAAAACCTTAAAACTAAATCCTAAAACACTCTAAACCTCAAAATTGAAACCCTAAATCCTCCAAATCGTAAAACTAAGACCTTAAACCCTAAAATCAAAAACCTAATCCCCAAACCTTAAACTTTTCAAACCCTAAAATTCAAGCCATAAAACTCTCTAAATCAAAACCTTAAATCCTTTAAACCCTAAAACCAAAACCCCTGACGTCAAACTCTAAAATAAAAAACCTAAACCCCAAAATTTGAAACTCGAAACTCTAACCCTAAAATCAAAAATCCCAAAATTCAAATCCAAAAATCCCAAATTTGGTACGCAACTCTGAACTATCACCGAAAAAATCGTTCAAACTCTAAAACCCCTAAAACTCTAAACCTATACCCTAAATCCATTTCGAAACTTTAGGGATACATGTAAAAATTTCACATGAAATGATTTGTTCTCGAATGCCACCTAAATGATGGGGTATTTAGAAAACTTTATTTTATTAAATTTTTCATACGAATCCTTAATTTACATTAATAATGGGGTTAATAAATAAAAAGTATAATAGTAAATTGAGATCTTAAATATAAACAATCGCACCTAAGCTCTACCTAGATGTTGAAGAGTCGGAGTGGTCTCATAATACTTAAGAGCACAACCTTAAAATTGCATTTTATCTTGCATAATATCCATTGGCATATATATGCATCATTATATTATTATTGACACTCATTTCATATTTCTTTGTCTTTAATTTTTATTTGTTACCTGATAATACCATTATTTACTTTCTCTTATAAAATGTTTTACAAGACAAAGATATATATATATTTTAAAGTTGTGATGTTATAAAATAAAATAAAAATAACATTTCGAAGGAAATAATTCTTGGTATTCTGACTAGATGTTAGAGAGTCACCAATAGTTATTTCCACAAAGAGTTTTATTTTTTATATTGTGCTAAATCTTAAGCAAAAAAAGTTATTTTAAATTCTGTCTAGATGTTAGAGAATTTTAATATAATTCTTTACTTAAAGATTTCTTCAATATTCCTAAAAAATAATTTTAACCAAAATTTATTTTTTAAAATGAAGGGAATTAATGTTAAATTTCAAATTGAAACCATTTTTATCTAACACCGAAAATAGCACATAATTAAATGGTACCAATTTATGGGCATTGTGGAGGTGCTAATCTTTCCCCACACGTAACCGACTCCCGAACCCAACCTAGTTTTCGTAGACGAAATTTATCTTTTTGATAAACTATAAGCCCACTTTTATAGTTTTATTAAAAAGATAAACTTTTGGATGACCAATCATACCCTAACAAAGATTGGTGGTGACTCCCTACCTTTTTTTCGATTTTAAAATCATTTACGTTTGACGGCCCCAAAATCATTATGACACTAAGTACTCCACATTCTCATGGAAGAATTGGTTTTTTAGCTCTTACTTAAGATTCATCAAAGTTTTAATATGGCATTCATCATTCACAAATTTTAAGTACCACCATAACTTGGCATCATCGGCAAGATACATTGTAGCCATTACAGCCTTATCCTCTTTTGATTCTGTATACAATGTTTAAAAGTATTATTCTAAATCAAACAAGAAATTCTTAAGCTTTTTGCATTTATTACCCCTCATAACATTGTGGCTTTGACACATTGGCTTTCTTCTCTTTATCTATTGAGCTAGAACTCGGTCTAGCCATAACCATTTATAGCACATTCACTTGGGCCCTGAACTCTCAAACTCTCTTTAGAGGACACTCTTGATTTTTTGTCTCTTCATCCAAGCCATTTAGAGTATCAGATAGCTACCACTAGGCTGTCTTAATCTCTCTAGTAATCATGGGTTACCATATGGGCTTTTAAGGTGGCCACTGTGGCCTCAAGCTCCTTAATCTTCTGTTAGTCATCAGATCCACCACTCATAACCAATTTTGTCTATTCTTTAGTACTTTTCAATCGTGCTCTAATATCACGTATCACGAGCTAAGTTTTCTCTTGATGAAGCAATAAACTGTACAACATTTGAAAGATAGCTTGATATCTGAATAAGAAACTAACAAGCCATAAGTTGATTTTAAGGATACACAATGATATATTAAAGCATGTGGGTGCACACTAGGTGATTCCTAGTGCCCCCGAAAGAAAAATATGTTTTATTAATATTGAAAATAGTATAACAAAGTACAAAAAAAACATCAAGTCTTCCCATGATCATTGGGCTAGAAGGGCAGCCCTGGATGGATGGTCTAATACGTACCTTACCTAGTGAGGCAACCCAATAACATGCCTCATTTAAAGAGCTTAAGAGCTTTTATAACTATGCTACCAAGAACAATTACAATGTTTAAAATGGAGACACATTTTCTTAGCACATGAGATCTATGCTCCCTCTTGGCACCTCCACTTGCTCATGGCTTTATACAAGGATGGCTCATGACATGCTATGTCTGGTCATGGCCCTATACAAGATTGGCTCATGACACTAGTCTTAATGCTTTCCTAGATTCAAGATTGAGATAAATTCTTAAAAACAAAGTAGCTAATTAAATCTAGAGTTTAATTTAATTGATTCATGTAGTTACTCTTAAAAAGTGGTATTTAGTAAGTTTATAGTTTGAATCTTAGTACTTGCAATCCTTTTTTATCTAATAGATTTGGAGTTTGAATTCAATTAAGGCTATAAACGAATCAAACATAATGAACAAATGTATGTTTATGGTTTGTTCGTTTATTTTTAGAGGTGTTCAACTTGGTTTGTGTTTGGCAAAAAAATTATTTTATTTGTTCGAGCTCGGTTCATTTAAATGGTAAGATGTTCATGTTCGATTCATATTTAGTTCAATTATGTTAAACGAATTCGTTTATAAACATTAAACAAACATGTTCAGAACATATATAAATGAACATATTCATAAAAACAATAAACAAATCATAATGAAACAAATTCAAACTAACAAACCCTAAACGAATATAAACAAACTTAAACGAACTTTAAAATAAGATTAGGGTAAAAGGTAAAAATATAATTTTATTAGTGTTATTATAAACAAATAGCAAATAAACAATAAACAAATAATAAACAAATCAGTTTTAAACGAATTTAAAATGAACTTGTTCACAAAAATAAACGAACCAAATAAACCTTTATTCATATTCGGTTTGTTTAATAAACGAACATAAAAATATTGTTTAAGATCATTTGTTAAATTTAAGAAACGAACATGAATAAATATAAACCGAACATGTTAATGAACAAAATTTTATTGAAAATTTTGTTCATTTACACTCATAATTTCAGTACTTATAATCTTTTGTTATCCTAGACTATGGTCTCATATGTACTTAAAAAAATTTGTTAAGAAGCATTAAAAAAAAATTGCAAACTTTAGTATAACTCAAATTGAAGATTAGGTCAATTTATTTATATAATTACTTTTAAGAGAAGTTATCCAATAAATTTGAAATTTGAACTTCAACGTCTATAATCTTTTCTTTGAATTACGGTTGTTTTGTTAAAAAAAAAAAAAAACTCCAGTATAACTCTTTTGTATCTAAGTTATTCTCCAAATATGTTAAAACACATTGATTATGATATGAAAACATGGGATTTTATCTCGCACAATTCTCCTTGATGTGTCTCCATTCCTCTTCGGGCACCTCGGCGTTAATGGACAGACAGTAGATGTTGTTTTCCATATTTTCTGGAAATTATTGAACAGTATCTAGGATTAGAAATAATTAACTAAGAAAAAATTATATACTCCCTGTGTTATCTGAACGTTCAGATAATATTTTGATCGTCAAAACAACACTCGTTGATTGTTTTATTAATCATCAACTTAATTAATCCAACACTTAATTAATATAAAAAAAGTTAATTAACCATGTCAACACAAATTCAATACAAAAGATAGGATCCAGCTGGTTTACTCATTTTGAACCCTTTTACTCTCGTTAACCTTTTCCAACCTGTTCTTTTTTTGTATACTTCTCTTACGGTTTACCGATCGAAACTCGTCCCAAAATAATATCTCCCATAGACCATTCTCTTGTGAAAGGTCATCACATAGATCCAAGTCAACATTCCCTTTCACTTTCTGGCAAGCACCGGTCGCCGACCCAAAAAATACATCAACAAGCTATTTACCACTAGACCGGCCTGCTACTCGGAAATCAGCATGGTCTAATTAATTCCACTAATTAACGACTAATAGCCTAATCAATATAGTTGATTATTAAGTTCTTGATTGTATAGCACAGCATTGGTGGGACTGGGAAATATTTGGGCTGTTGCTGATATATGAACATGATTACAGGGACGGAACGCCCTGCTTTGAGGGGAAAACAAAGTGACAGAACGAAATGTTAGTCAGCAGTTCCAGCTAAAATGAGAAGAATCCTTTGGAATGAGCTGCTATGGCCTGATCAGAGGACAAGAAGCACTAATTTTGTTGGCCATATAGATTGATCCAGCAGCCACTGAGCCTCCAAATTTTAGTGTTGTAGCTTTTTCAGGGTTGTTTTATGGCCTTAAAAACAATAAAACTCGCCATGAAGCAGGAGGCATCCATTAAGAGGCATCACTGTTAATTCAATTCGTTTACCTTGCTGATTTTCAGTTGACGTTGCTGTTACAAGGACTTCTCATCCTGAACCTTGTTGTGCTGTTTCTGGCTTTTCTGCTCCTGTATTTTATGTGCTAGTGTTCCCAGCACGTAATGAACTATAAGGCCAAGTCCAGGTTCAAGCAGCATATAACAGCAGATCATATACCTTTATTTAGCATAGACAAGGGGTATTACATCGGCAAGTTAAAATACAAGTTCCTCTCAAATTTAGTACAAGGGAAATACTATGACCCTGCCCAGCCCCCAAAACGATTTACTAGGATGCTTAGCAAAAACCATAAGGAAACACAGATCAAGCAATATCACTTATTTGAGTTTGTTTAGCAGCATGATATTGAACTTGAGTACAGAAATTAGTTACTTCCGGTTTCAAATCCATATAGCTCCAGCCCTCAAGAGCAATGGGACAAGCTGGTTCTTCACTTGGAGGCTCATCACTTGATTAGGACCTCCAATAAGCTGCTCCCCTATGAATACAGCTGGTACACTGGGCTTGCACCCCATCTGCTGCAGCGCCATTTCAATTTGTTGCCCGTTCTGAATTTCATCTAGCTCGTAAACTGTAGGATTTGCTCCAAAGCCAGTTATGAGAGTCTTGATGGTATGGCTCATGCAACAAGTGCTCCTGCTAAAAATCACCACTGGCCTGCTAGCAACCATCCTTGTAACCATTTCCATTGTTATGCAGCAGAGAAGATCAATACTTGGAAGTGCTATGAAGCTTTTTGGGGGGATTTTAAAGTTTAAACTGCTTAGCCTTGATGAGGAACCTAACCACCCCGGGCATCTATTTATACTGTCCATGAACAGTTATTGAAAAGGAATAAAATAATCCCAAAAGATCATCATTCCTATATTGCCCCTGATGATTTATTGACGAAGACATCATCTTCCAACATTTAATACCAACAAGTTGCATAATAGTATGCTAGTTTACAACTTGTGACAATAAATATTGAAATGACTGCACTATCCTTAACATGCTCGAGTGCTGAAAAGAGGGAAAAGTCTTTATAAGGAATAGCACAACTATGACTGAGCCATGAGATATTTTTCCTTTAACACCCCAAAATGGAAGAATTTGTAATCAGAACCAATCTAATAAATATGAGTCAAGATTTGGTTTGAGTTTCTTATAAGTAATTACAGAAATGAAGTTGAAATGTTCAGCAGGGTAGAACTCCTATGTCCATTCAGGTAATTGACTCTTTCTGATTTTTTTTTTTTCCTTTCAAACAAAGGAAGCTGTGAGAAGAGATTACAGATATTGCGATTTAAATCTCAGAGCTGCTAGATAGCTTTTAAGAGCAATTACATTGAGCCAAACTCCAGTATCATTTTTCTTGCTTTCTTTTCCCCTTGTATTTTTCCAATCCTAGAACTTTTTGGGGCATCTCTGCTGAAGTGGAAAAAAAAGTTGGGTTTGTCCAATTGGATAGCACCTTTTTTCCCCATAACAAGATTCGCATAAGTTCAAATCAAGAAAACCAAAAGCCAACAGATCCAGAAAGAGAAGGAAAGGAGAAAATTGAAAAGAAAAAAGAGCTACCCTAGCTGTTAATAGCATTGAAGGATTAAAAAAACCAAAAATATTGACCGTACAAGAAGGAAGAAGAAGAAGATGCCTTGAGGTCCCACAACATTATCTACTTCTCCTTCTCAACACATTGCATATTTACCTGGAAAGAAAGAAATGAAGCTGAGACATTCTTCCACAAGGAAAACCATTGTTAGAACACTGGAAATGCCTATAATTATAATGGTAATCACCGTATGATTTGGGTTGAAAATTTAAAAAAGTGTCAATTTTTTTTTTTTTTTATAAAAGAGATCCTATTCTGAAAATTAAAAAAAAAATTACAAATAATAAAATTTAAATTTCAAAATTATTAAATATCACTTCCGCATAAACCATTGAAGTAAATTTGAAGTTGGGAAAAGTATCTATTTAATATCGATTAGGCATCCGAAGTGGGTTTAGTGTCTGTGCCCCCAAAAGTCCGTACACGATGCATCAAAAGGAGGACTTAAATGCGGCTGACATTTTATCTAATACTATTTGCAGTATATATGAATTATCAACATAAATGAGTTGGCTAATCGCCAGATTAGGTTGCGTAACGTATCTTTGCCACTTTCCTGCAATTTGAGTAATGCAAATGTAGGTGATCAGGAAAACTAGTCAGAAAAGGAAATGAGATATTCAATCTGAAGGTACCTCTTTTTATAAGCTTAATGTATTCAAATAGGAATCAGTCTTTTCCTCTTCCAAATGCTTCTACCTTCGGTGATTTAGCTGCTGGTTTTTAGAGAAATTAAAAGATTGCACTTTGATTAAATTATCAAAACCTCCTGGTAGCTATCTAGCCTGTAAGCGTAACGAGCAGAAAACAACAATATTAAAATCCAAAGCAATGCCACCCAGTCCTTTTTTTAATTGGATTAATGCCTGATTTAATCCCTTAACTATATCACTTTTCAGTTCAATGTTTGGTATTTATAAAAAATAAAAAAAAAAAAAAAAGTAAAATTTCATGATTAGATTTTGAAACTTTGGGTTTGTCGAAAATTTTCCCTACACACTAGTTCTGTTAATTATAAATTGATGTGGCCAAAAAACAATCAATAATATCATAACACATGATATATTTTTAATTCGTAATCAGTATTTGTCATATTAATATTTTTACTAATGATATTACTCAATAATATAAAATATTTGATGAAAATAAAATTTAAATACCTAATCATGAATTTTTTTTTGTAAGTAACAAGTAATTAAAAGTAGTATAATTTAAAAAATCAAATAACATATTAAAGAACCTTCTTTAATTAGATAGCTCATTTTTTTTGTTCTTTCTACTTCAAATTCCAAATCAACAGATTGCATGTGAAGATGATGGTTCTTTAGCAGTTTTTTATTAATGAAGTTTTGCTGTAGGATGCAAATTTAGAACTTTCCTAAAAAGTTAAATAATGTGTTGATACTCCACAAGATTTATCACATGCTCTATTAATGAACGACTGCTTTCTTAAAGTCACGTGCTCTATTAATGAAAGACTACTTTCTTAAAGTCCGTTGACTTTCCTTTAGGACTTGGGAGATATTCAAGGAACTATATATTTCAAGAACGTGTGATATATGGTTTCATCTCATCTCATCTCATCTCGTCATCTATCTGATTTGAGCTTATGTCATCATCATCCCTGCATAGTTTTTAGTATTAATTTATTAATCAGATTATATTCCCATTTCGAAAGAGAATAGGCAGATGTTTTTTTAAAAGAATTTGATATCTTCTCTCATGTCAATATAACAACTTGATCCATCATCACTTTATCCTGGAACTTTCAATCCACCGAGTTGAATCACAAGTATGATGCATCTGCTTTTCCTCTGAGCGTACCAGGCATTGTCCGTATAATCTTTGAGGACCAGAAATCATCGCGTATATCAGCAGCCACCAGCCAGGAAAAAGTGCCTTCGACCAAAAAGTAAATAGGCTTGCATGCGTAACCCTGGCTCGAGATAAAGCAAAAGGCCAGGGTCACTTGACCAAAACATATATGATTTAGACTTTGCCTAGTTTTGAATTCAATTCCATCTTTGATGCGGCACGATTGAATTCACCTCACAAATAATCACCACTAATTCATTAGTATAAATTTTTTATTATTTTTTTTAATTGTAATTATAATAATAATTTTTAATTATAATTACAATAATTTTTATTACTGTTTTTAATTTATCGGAATCAATTTCATCATCTATCTAAATAGAACCGTTATGTATATTAAAATAGACGTAATTTTATGTAATAGTTTTCTTCTTTTTTCATAATAAATTTTTAGATAGAAAAGATTCAAACTTGAAATTTCTCCTTTCTTTTTTTAAATAATGAAAATAGTATGATTAGTGGTGCGGTTATATGCGTCAACCATATCAACTACATGAAGTCAGGCCATTAATCAGCACCTGCCTGAATTCATTCTGCTAGCACATATTTATCAAAGATTATGCGAAGATTTCGACTTTTCCCTTTTCTTGTGCAGAGATTTTTTAAGCACACTAGGTACTTCCATCACGAATATATTCTTTGATTTGCATGAAAGAGAGTGACGGGGAAGATATGAGAAAGAAGCAACAGTTCGGGAATGTCAACTTTGGTGGGTTCATCTGTACATATGTAGTAGTAGTCGAAGCAACAGAGCAAAAATGAAGAAAAGCACAATGCGAAGTCGGCTCCTGGTATCACAGCAACGTAGATTTCAAAGCAATGCTCACATCCAGATCAGAAAAGAAATTGACCACAAATTGCAATGCTTTGCCTTCAATGCTTTTTCTAGAAGCAAAGCAATTTGTTATCAAGATTCCAAGCAGTACAGCAATTAACAAGATGCAAAAACACATGGCAAAACGACCGATCATCTTTTCACTGTTGTTGATGAAACCAATAGTTATTCCACAAATATAAATGATAATGATCTTGATCTGGAAGCTGAATCTTAGTATCACCAAAATTCCCAAGGAAGATGACAGCGGAGGCCGGGGAATCGATTGAGCAATTGTTTCTTCCTTTTTTTTTTTTTTTTCTAGGACCACGTGCCTCACTATTCCACGTTTCTTGTCTTTGTGCCTGATGTGAAAGCTGATGGGGTTTGGTTTGTCCTGCACGTGTTTCTTGGTTTCTCCCTTTTGTAGTTGTCTATCTGTTGTCTGTGGACTCTGCTCAATTGTCCACTCCACCATCTCTCTCTTTGATACCCTTATATTACATTACAAGAAACAATGAAAGAGACTCCAATCCTCTCCACTGCAGTAATCAATTTTCTTTTTTTTTAAAAAAATTTTGTGTAATCAAATTTTTGGATGTGGCATAATTTGATAAAAACAAGATAAATTCTCCTATTAATTTTTGACGTAAAGGCTCAAAGAAAACTGTTGGAATGGTGTGTTTTAGCGTTTTCCAATTGTCATAGGTCTTTTAAAACTTTACAAAATTATGAACCTATCTACTTGATTTTTTTTCTTTCTAAAAAATATGGAATAAGCAGATAAATGGCAACTTTATTTTCGGTCGTGAGTCCATAAATGAATTACACGAAACAATTTTCAGTATTTTCCAATCAAAATCAAACTAAATTGTGACCAAAAAAAAAATCAATCATCATGTGTTTGAATCCTTTACTTTTTCCATTTTGTGGTCATTCGTTGGGTTGGCCCTCCCTTGCGGTATTCACAATTGGATTAAATTTATGAATTAACCGACATAATTGAATTAATTAAGTTAATTGGTCAGATTTCGAATTAATTTATATTAATTATCGAAAATGAGTTTAAAGAAATTTTAATTTTTATTTAATTCGGTTAACTAAAATTTTAATTAAAATATAATAAAATCCAAATATAAAACTAAAAATATATGAAATGGATCATTTCATTTTATATATTATTAGAGTTTTTAACTTAATATTTTGGTATTTGAATATTTTATTGGATGAATTTATTTAGCTTATTTAAAATATGAAAAATAAATTCGATAATTAACCGAATTAAATTAGATTGCTTAAAACTTTGAAATTAAAAATTTTAATTTAATTAATAAAAATAAATAATTTAATTTAATTAATTTAATTTTAGATAATTTAATACGAAATTAATGAATGAATATCCTTACTTAAAAAAATTAATTTCTTAATCATAACACCTTTATGAGTTCCTTTTAAGTTGAAGTAATAATTAGATAATCATCTTGGCTCATTTCCTCATCATAGCATTAGTATCTTTTGAACTTGGTAAGGGTCCGGCTTGTTAAAAGAATTAGTAATAAAGATCTCTTGAGTTGTCCTAGACCTAGT